AAGGGTTGTCAAGCATTGGAAGAGGCTGCCCAGGGAAGTGGTTGAGTCCCCATCCCTGGGGATATTTAAAAGACGTGTAGATATGACACTTAGGGACATGGTTTAGTGGTGGACTTGGCAGTGTTAGGTTAATGGTTGGACTTGATCTTAAGGGTCTTTTCCAACCTAAATGATTCTATGATTCTATCTAAATTAAGGACCAAATTCTATTCCCTGCTGCAGCAATGCAGAGTCACAGTCTTCAGCAGAGAATCAGGGTTTTAAAGAAGAGAGCTCTGGAATGTGTCTTCATGGACAACAGCTTAAATTTTAGTGCCCTTAACTGGAACAGTGCTTGAAAGTGTATGCAGGTGAGGGAGTCAGTATTAGGATTAACTTTTTCAGTCTGCACTATGTAGTTATAAGTTTCCATATGCATCATTTACATAGTAAGACTTGAAATGGTCAAGTGCCAAGAAAAGGAAATAAAGGAGGCTTTCAACTCTGTTAGAGGAGAAGACCAAGGAGAAAGCCCTAAAGGCAAAACATACTGGAGAAAGCTTGAATTTAAGGGAAGGAGAAGCCATAATCTAAAGAAAAATGCAGTCAAGAATGAGGAACTTCTGATACTCTCCCTTGAATATCAGGTGTAGTAATTGAGGTACTCTGGTTTAAAAAAAAAAAAAACAACCACCAAATAAACCCCACAAAAATAAAAAAGCGGTGCCTACCTATATCCTCCAGCATCTAAATTCTTTTTATAAACAAAGTACCTGCTCCTTTAAGAATGAGAAGACCTTTAGAATTATTTCATAGAAATCTTTGCACAAAAAATAATATGATCCTAAGATCAGGATTTGCTAGCTATTTAACAGCTGCTCAGGAAAACATGCCTTCAGATATTAAATAACAGTTGTAAAGTACAGAAACAAAGCTGGTTACAATTGTTTTCTTCCCATAAGGTTACAGTAATACAGATTCAGCAAACACCTACCTGACCTCAGATGGTGAATACTCACTTCATGGCTATATTATCCACTCTAATGACCACCTTTGGCCCCTCTTCACAAACTTGGAGTCTGCTGTCAAAGAAGGCAGCAGGCAGAACCATCGAGCCTTTGGAAAAAAAGCAGAAGATTTATTTAAGGTAACATAACTCTTATTAGTATCAAAACTAGCTGTGAGGAGCCTAAAACTGATCTAGGGGCAAATGGAGACTGAGCTGTCTGAGAAAGCTGGTCAGTCTCAGAAATGGTAGAAACACAATGCCACTCACTAGTCCCAGACTTCTGTTCCCTTCAACTTCAGGCTCTAAAGTGCTGGAGCAATCACAGAGTATACTGGGAAATTCGAGTGCTGATGAAAATTCTCTGGCTAAAGTGTTGCCCATCCAGCTAACACACTCTCAGAACAACCTCTGGGCCTGTTTAATTTACATTTATGTGGCCTTTTTGTAACACCAGGTAGTATCTTATCACATATGCACTCCTTCCATACTGGATGCCAATCACGTGGTACTGATGTGTATCCAGTTCAATCTGTGCTGACAGTTTTCTAAGTCGCTTTGTGTTGATGCAGTGGAGAAGGGATCCAATCTCTTTTATGAAGGTTTGTAGTTTTGTATATGCTTCAAGCTGGTATATATTGCTGATAAGAATTGTAATCCTTTCTTCCATCTGTTTCCATCTCTGTAGCATTCCTTTTCCAACGCTAGGCCAGGTGGATGTGTTCAGACTGGAGAATCACTTAGAGTTATAACTAGCCTGACTGGTCAATTATCCTGGCGAAGCAGGTTGGGGGACATAAATATTTGTGCCTGTTTAAGGAGAGTGCTAGTAGAGTGAGCAGAATATGTCAGGACTTCATCTCTGACAGCAGTGCTGGCTTAAAGTGTACTTCAGACTACATCCTGAGGTTCTTAATTTATACTTAACTTCTAGATGCTGATGAAGTCAGTCTCCTAAAGGAGATGTCTACATTCCTCATATACAGTTGGTGGAAGGAAATAAGGGCTTTTGGAGAGTTAAGAAGGTCCTGTTAGCCTAATGTTAGTACCTAGATTACTGGTGGACAAGAACGTCCTTTAGGAATCCTTCAAAGGCTCTTTTAAAGGGAGTTTAGATACTTTGCTGTAGGATAGATACTGCAGTAGATGCTTAAATTTATGTGCAAGTTAAGCGTTTTAACGTAGGTGAACTGGATCGCATCCTTTGTTAAACATCTGGGTTACCAACTTGAGTTTGCTTGGGTGTTGCTTGCGACAGGAGTCACTACCAGTTCAGGTCTGGGCTCCATATGTATACAGGATAGTACGTCCAAGCAGAATATGTGGGCTGCCTATGGCACTATGCATATCACAGCCTGGAGATACTTCCACTTCATGGTAGCTGTAAAGCCAGACATAACTGATGAAGTCTGTATGAAAGCGAGACATAAAGGGGATTCATGCTTATGTATCATTTCAAAGGTAAAGGCATGAGGTTCTGGTACTGAATGCTTGCATCTCACCTAATCAAAAAAACCAGTATGAGCTTTAATGTTTCTGGTTTAAGTTACGGTCCAATCATCTCGTTATTTTCCTGTCATGGGACAGTAAATGTCAGAATTAAATGAAAGCAATTTGTGAGTATATCAAGAAGAAGGAGGAACACTTCAGGAGACTGAAGGAAAAAAATGGATCTGTCCTTTCAAACAGTTTAAAGTCCGGAGACATCTTTCTGTGGAGCAAATGTGTTAGTAAATGTATATCAAAGGCACAGTATTTCTTTAAAAAGCACTTTTCAGATTACCCCTTCTTCCTGCTATGCTGCCCCAGCTTCAGTAGGCAGAAGTGTTGAATTTAACAGCCCTTGGGACATTACCAAGACCAGGTTCAAACCAGCCAAGGTACGTCCTTTGGGACGTACTGCAAAAGATGTCTGTGTGATCAGAATTTTGGAGAGGATGCAAAAATCTGCTTATCACTACGGTGAAACAGCAAAGGACTTGGATGAGCAACTAGTCAGTGGCACTTTTAACTTACCTTTTAATTTTAGAATTCTAATGTTAATGGTGTGCACCTACTGCCTTGGTTGTACATAGTTTTAGTTAAGTAATGAAAATAAACTTCAATTACTGTGCTTTTTTTCCCTTTTTAGGACTATTATCACAGCCAGGAGGTGAAGCAACGTTTTATGGCTGCCATGCACAGCATTGCCCACCTGACAGCAAGAGATGTGGCTACAGCATTTGATCTTTCACAGTTCAAATCTGCTTGTGATTTAGGAGGTATTGCGTGTAATTGAACCTGTATACAAATTAAAGGGAAAAGCTTGATTTCAGTTCTATATTCTATTACTTAAAACATACTTTTTTTTTTTTTTTTTTACTAGAACTGCAGTAATATTATCTACTGTTATTTTTCTGGTATTGTAATGTCAGAATGAAAGGACTAAGTGCAGTTAACTGAAAGCAGTTACTTAAATGGTATTTGAATAGTTTGAAATAAGTGAATGTTTGTCACAATCAGTTACATACTGACACAGCTCAACACAGAAAACAAGATGGGTTGTGGCTCAGCTGATAGAATATTGGGCTGGGAGCTCCATTTTCAACTGTGCTGTTGCTGTCCTTCGGCATGTCCAGGATTTTCAAAAGTAATGAAGGATTTATTTCTGAGTCCTTCTGTATTGGGGTGTCAAACTTGAAACGCTGCACTGCTAGAACAAAAAGTTTTGATTCTTCTAGGATGGGTTTGTTTTGTGTGTTGTTTTAATTCTTAATATCCAAGATGACCACCAAAATGTTGAAGACCAATGATACACCTGAAGAAACTCTTCTTGTTATGTCCTTTTTTGCCCTGTGCTTGCAGTTGCACAGAAGGGAGTGTTACCACGTAGGGAAAGGTCCACTGAAGGAAGAACACTTTACGTAGTGCCTGGGGAGGTGGACAGCATGTCAGAGGAATTAACGCAATACTGGTGTAACCTTTGCCACTTGTGCAGAGGCTCCAAGACTTTGCCATCCCTATCATTTACCATGCTGGAGAGTATTTGTCAAACTTCCTATATCAGTGCTTTGTAAATGGTAAATAGTTCTAGTGCTCTTCATCCACAAATTACAAGTCCTTGCCCTTTCATTAATGCTCTTCTACCCCCAAAAAAACCCTGAGGTAGTGGTATCAAAGGTCATTTTAACAATTCTATGACAGTAGGGAGTCATGCCTGCATTCCCCAAGCTTTAAAGCATTGCTCTATCCACCAAGAAGTGCTATTGCCCATGTCAATTGTGGAGCTGTCTACCTCTAATTCTGATTTGATGTCTCTATTTTATATATTTTAATGTTATATACAGCCTTGTCTTTAAAAATGTCTGCAAATGCTGGGAGAAAAGACTCGATTTTGACTTTTTTAAACTTTCAACAGGTTGCACTGGAGCTCTGGCTCATGAATTAGTACAAATATACCCAAATCTCAAGGTCACAGTATTTGACCTTCCAGAAGTCATTGCAAACACCTCTTACTTTCAGCCTTCAGGACAACACACAGCTCCAGTGACATTTGTATCAGGTAAATGTAACACATGATCTTTTGTCTTACTTCAGTTATCCTGGAGCACAGAGCAGGTTCTTTCACTGCAGAAAACAGTGTGCTACCCTGCTCCAACCCCAAACGTGTCTTAGTACAAGGCAATGTAGGCTCACCCATGCTAAATGGGGACATTGTATTCCTCAAGCCTGTGGGGATAAAAACAAACTGGCTGTGGTTGGAGAATGTGGATAAATGAGGAAGTACGAATTAGTCATTTTTGAGTACCACTGGGAGCAGAGGCTGCATGTCCTTGTCTCAGGCTTTTCTAGGCAAGATCAGCACGGTGGCTACAAAGGACTTCGATGTCTCCTTCCTTACTTTAGGCTTTCTCTCCATTTTTATATGTTACAAAATTCTTACCTGTGATCTGCTCTTCTCTTTAACTACGCTTTCCTTATCTGCAAATCAGTGCATCCCTATACCTGGTCATTCTTGTTTCTTTACCACTGCTGAAGCTCCTAGTTCCTCTGCAATATTTTAATTTCATTTTGTGGTTTCTACAGGAATGTACTAACTCTGCTTTCCAACAGGTGACTTCTTCAAGGATAATCTTCCAGAAGCAGACCTTTACATCCTTTCACGTGTTCTTCATGACTGGCCTGATGAAAAGATACATGTGCTGTTAAGCAAGATATCAGCTGTTTGCAAACCAGGTAGGTTTTTTCATCTTGTGGGCTTAAAGGTGCATGTTAATGCATAAACATAATGAGTAATGATAAGAAGTTCATATTAAAAAAGCATATTTTTCTCTCCAATCATAGTAGCCTTTGCTTGAATCTCTATGCTTGCATTATGGTAATACCTACTAAGAAAAAAAGGAAACAAAGCTGCTAACAAAACTATATAAAATAAGCCGTTACTATAGTTGCAGGCTTCACATACAACTATGTCATCTCCCCTATCTCTGCCATGCCCAGTCTTTCTTACTAAGCCCTGTATCATCAAATAACTAAGCATGTGCTTATTTCTATATGTACAAGTAGTCTAACTTAAGTTCCTTCAGGTTAATCAAGAAGCAGCAGTTTGTTTTGCTATTCAAGAAGCAGCAGTTTGTTTTGCTATCGTTTTGCTATCTCAGTTGTGCCCAGAATATGGTAAACTAGAGTTCAGCACTACTTTATGCACAGATTTCATGAGAAATATGTAGCCTCTTCTGCTTTCTGCTACATTTGAATCATAGAATATCTCAAGTGGGAAGGGACCCATAAGGATCATGGTGTCCAACTCCCTGCTCCTTGCAGGACTACCTAAAACTAAACCATATGACTAAGAGCATCATCCAGATGCTTCTTGAACTCTGAGAGGCTTGGTGCCGTGACAACTTCCGTGGGCAGCCTGTTCCAGCAACTGACCACTCTCTCAGTGAAGAACCTTTTCTTAATGTCCAATCTGAACTTCCCCTGACGCAGCTTCATTCCATTTCCTCGTGTCCTATTGCTGGTGACCAGAGAGAGGAGATCAGCACCTCCCCCTCTGCTGCCCCTCTTGAGGAAGCTGTAGACAGTGATGAGGTCTTCCCTCAGCCTTCTCTTCTCCAAGCTGAACAAA